ATTTTATAACCCTTCAAGCTTACTTAAAGAGTTTGAAATAATGTTATGTTTAGAATGATTTAACAAATGATTTAATTTCTGCTGTACTGAACTCTAGAGGTCAAAATGACTAGAATTGTTTCTTGCTTTTTAAGTATTATAAATTACAGCATTTTGATTAAAACTCTTACTAAAGTAACAAAACAAATATTATAAGGTAGTGTAGTCTTAGCTTACTGACTCCTTGTTTAGCAACCATTAAAAATTATGATGGTATTTTTTTAAAAAGCTTTATGACCAATCCTTGCTTTTATGATTGTCAAGAGTCCTGCAGTCACATGATCATTCAGCTGCTTGCAACCAAAGTTTATTTATGACCATCACAGCATCCTGTGGTCACATGATAATTTTTTGTGCTTTACAACTGCCTTTCAACAAGGCAGAAAGTAAAATTATAAATCATAGTCATGTGATATTTTGCTTAGCAACCATACCACTTTGCTAACAACTGAAGGGGAGTTGAATTTGTAAGATTATCGTGATCATGTGATTCCCCCCCCCTTAGCTACCAGGGTACTTATAATGGAGTTGCCAATCAACAATCGACTGAAATAAAAAAGCTCTATAAAATGTCAGAAGCATTTGTTTTCCTCAAAATAACTAAGAATCAATAGTTTACTTTTAACAGTTCATGCATATGGAATTATGTAATAATTTATTTATACTGTAATAGGAAGATTATTTATATCGCCATGGTAATCCTATCTCTTAATGACATTCTTGTAAATATGTGACAAAATTAAGGATAAAAAAAATGGCTGTCATCCTGCTTTGTGATCTCCTAGAAACGTGGGGGAGGGGAGAGAGAGTGTGTCTCCCATGGAAACAGGTTGCAGTAAATTGTAATTCATTAAGGAACTGGCAAGAAGTTTTGTTGGGCTGAAAAACGGAGTGAGAGAAGATGGTTAATGAGCAAAGTGGGATTCAAGCGATTTCAGATTACTGAAGATATTCAGGTCGTGGATGATCTGAAGATCACTCAAGTTGATGAGAATCCTGGGTAAATCAGAATCAGCAAAATGGGGAAAGGACTATGGTTTCAGGGAAATCTGAGGGAAAAGGCCTAAGATGGGAGTCTATGACAATTCACCTTGGCCAACTTGCCATGGCCAATTCGCCACAGCCAACTCACTGCAAGACAAGAGTTACACTAATATCAAAGAAATGGTGGAATAGAATCATTAAAGAAAGGATGCAAAAGGAGGGACAGAATGAAATACGAATGGCAAAAAATCTTTATTTTAAATAATTAAATAGAACTGTTAAATTGTCCCACAATGAGTTGGTGAGTTGGCCATGGTGAATTGTACTGTGCCAAGGTAAGGTGCCTGTGGTGAGTTGGCTGTGGCGAGTTGGCCGTAGTGAGTTTGCTGCAGCGAGTTGGCTGTGGTAAGTAGTCCCATTCCGTAAGATCAACATTTTGCTAGCTTTGAGAGATTGCCAGTTATTTCTTTTCCTAAGGACCTATTCCATGGGGATTTTAGTTACAACTACAAACATAATAGCAGCTTAAGACAAGCACATTGACTTCAGAAGAAGCACTATTCTGTAAGCAAAGAAATAGTTAATTGCTGAAGAGCAGAGCAATAATATTCATAAAACAATTTAGGACTTTTATTACCAACCTCTTTATAGCATATCCTGGGGTGGGGAACTGTTTATCTGCTTTATCTACAGGCCACTAACAGAGCCATGTAGTTATAATAGTCTTACTGATTTTAAAATATTACAAAAAAAGACGCACCGGACCATAAGATGCACATTAGCTTTAGAGGAGGAAAAAAAAAAAAATCTGCCTCTGCCTCCCAGCATTCATCCGGTATTAATCTGGCTAGTGTCCTTGCAGCAAACAGCCTGGTCAACTTCAGCACATTATCACAGCCGCAGCATGTGGCTCGTCAGGGCTTCGCCCCATTGTGCCCACCACCAGTCAACTGAGCTGAGCTGCTGCTGCTGCTGCCAGGGAACATTGGAGCCTTCGCTGCCGGGCAGTTGGTTGGCAGTTAGATCGGCCTCCTGGAATACCGCCAATCAGCTGTTCTAGGTGGTGGGGATTGCTGCTGTTCGCAGCTGCTGGATGGCAGCAGTGGCAAATGGCAGTGAGTGCGAATGGCAGCGGTGGCAGTGATCCCCGCCACAGCTGATCAGCGGTATTCCGGGAGGCCGATCTAACTGCCAACCAACTGCCCGGCAGCGAAGGCTCCAGCGTTTCCTGGTGGGAGTGAATGGTACACCAACCCCCCTCGCCCAGCTGCAATATTTGCTCTATAAAATGCACAGACATTTCCACCCACTTTTTAGTACGAAAAATACGGTATTTTTGCCCATTGAGACTCTGCTAGATTCTTTTGGACTATTATGTTAAAAATGAGAAATAGTTCACCACTCTTTGTTAATCATTAAAATTAATAAATGGGAGAAAATTATTGTATATTGCTATAAGACAGCTGAATCGAGGGATGTGTTCAAAATCCTCCTATAAAATTCCTTCTTACTTTCAAAACTTCTGGAAACCATGCAGTGAATGCTCAGAGAAGTATTTATTTCATGATATTTTCATATGGAGTACTTGTGATATACAGTTGCAAGAAAAAGTATGTGAACCCCTTGGGATTACGTGGAGTTTTGCATGAATTGGTCATAAAATGTGCTCTGAACTTCATCTAAGTCACAACAATAGAAAAACACAGTCTGCTTAAAATAATACTACACAAACATTAGATGTTGCCATGGTTTAATTGAACATAACATGTAAACATTCACAGTGCAGGGAGGAAAAAGTATGTGAATATTTGGACTTAATAAGTGGTTGACCCTCCTTTGGCAGTAATAACCTCAACCAAACATTTCCTGTAGTTGCAGATCAGACCTGCACAACGATCTGGAGTAATTTTGGACCACTCCTTTTCACAAAACTGTTTCAGTGTAGCAATATTCTTGGGATGTCTGGTGTGAATCGCTCTCTTAAGGTCATGCCACAGCATTTCAATCGAGTTGAGGTCAGGACTCCAGAAGGCGTATTCTGTGCTGTTGAAGCCATTTTTTTGTTGAATTACTTGTATGCTTTGGGTCATTGTCCTGTTGCATCACCCATCCTCTGTGGAGCTTCAGTTGGTGGACAGATGGTCGTACGTTTTCCTGCAAAATGTCTTGATAAATTCTGGAATTCATTTTCCCATCAATGACAATAATCCGTCCAGGCCCTGAGGCAGCAAAGCAGGCCCAAACCATGATGCTCCCTCCACCATGTTTTACAGTGGGGATGAGGTTTTGATGTTGGTGTGTTGTACCTTTTTTTCTCCACACATAGTGTTGTGTGTGCTTCTCAAACAACTCAATTTTGGTTTCATCTGTCCACAGTATATTTTGCCAGTAGTGCTGTGGAACATCCAGGTGCTCTTTTGCAAACTTCAAACGTGCTGCAATATTTTTTTTGGACAGCAATGGCTTCCTCCGTGGTGTCCTCCCATGTACTCCATTCTTGTTTAATGTTTTCCTTATTGTAGATGTGTCAACAAAAATGTTAGCATGTGCCAGAGATTTCTGTAGGTCTTTAGCTGACACTCTAGGATTCTTCTTTACGTCATGAAGCATTCTGCGCTTTGCTCTTGCAGTCATTTTTACAGACAACCACGCCTAAGGAGAGTAGCAAAAGTGCTAAACTTTCTCCATTTGTAGACAGTCTGTCTTACCGTGGACACATGAACATCAAGGCTTTTGGAGATACTTTTGTAACCCTTTCCAACTTCATGCAAGTCAACAATTCTTGATCGTAGGTCTTCTGAGAGCTCTTTTCTGCGAGGCATGGTTCACATCAGACAGTGCTTCTTGAAATCAGTAAACCCAAAACAGGTGTGTGTTTTTAAAGGGCAGGACAGCTGTCAGCAACACATCCAATATCATCACACTGATTGGAGTCAAGGTTGGCTCACTCCTGGCTCCCATTAGCTCTTGGAGAAGTCATTAGGCTAGGGCCTCACATACTTTTTCCTCCCTGCACTGTGAGTGTTTACATGTTATGTTCAATTAAACCATGGCAACATCTAATGTTTGTGTAGTATTATTTTAAGCAGACTGTGTTTTTCTATTGTTGTGACTTTGATGAAGTTCAGAGCACATTTTATGACCAATTCATGCAAAACTCCACGTAATCCCAAGGGGTTCACATACTTTTTCTTGCAACTGTATACTGTACAAATATAATCTTAATAAAAAATCATAAATATAACTTCATCTTGTTTATAATCTAGGCCTGTTGTTATATTTCAGCTTAAACTGTGATTTCTACAGTTGAACAAGCATTGATGGCTTTGCCTTTATTCCTTTTAATGTAATAAAATCATCATGAGATGAGCTTTGGCTGTTCTACTTTTGGGTGATAAATATTATTTGCGCATGCTCTGTGCAATGAAAATACTACATTTTTACATCCTCTGTGGAAAATTCTGAGAACTGGCTAGCACCATGGTGTGATAATGCTGCATGTCACCACTAGGGGATGCATTAGTAAAATAATATTCACTCATTCAAATTATCTTATAAAGTCTTTATCACATCTTGGCTGAATGTTAAGATTTGGTCCTAATTCCAGGTATGCTAGTTTAGAGATTAATCTGCCTAAGAACCATATTGGCATTATCCTTAAGAGAAAAATGAAGCAGATAACAGCAGATTTCAGTTTTTTTAAATCAAGGTTACATATGATAATTGCATTTTATAGCAATATATCTTGTCTTATTTATTTGCTCTGTAAATTGAGGACATTTATAGCTACCGTATATTTGACAGATTCTTTTTTAGATAGGAAAGTATAGTGACACCAACTACTCCTATAAAGAGTGGATATCTTATTTCCTATGGAATATCTTGTAGTTTTTTTCCTTCTTATGAGCAGTTATTTTAAAATATAAAACATTCTGAAAAGTAACTTGATTTCTCTTACCACTCTACTTTGTTTACAGAACATCACAGAATTGCATATCTTAATGGAGGTACTTGGCTGCTTGGAAACATCAATCAAGCTGGCTACTTTAGGGTTAACTATGACATTAGAAACTGGAGATTGATAATTGACCAACTAATGAGAAACCATAAAGTAAGCTCATTTCACTTTCTTGTCTGAATACATGAAACACTTCCAGTTTCTTATCATCCTAAGGTCTTCAATTTTTCTCCTCTACCCTTATAGGTAATCTCTGTCAGTAATCGTGCAGGTTTGATCGATGATGCATTCAATTTAGCCAGGTATGTTTTTCGGGAGATAATCCAGTTTAATGCATATTCCTACAGCCCTCATATATTTTCCTTCATAGTGTGGTTGTGCAGTTTGAAGTTGAAGATACTTTGAAACTCTTCCAATTTTCATCCCTTTTCTTCAAGTTTCTGTCTTTTCATGACTGAGTACAAAAAAGATTCTCAGCACTGCATTCTCTATTTCTGACTAGTAAAAACCTGAGAGTATTTCTGAATGCAGATGCTTGATTAATTTTCTTTAAGGTCAGTTTAAGTACTTTTGAGATTAATAATCTGTTCCCATTTCACTAATGAATTATTTACCTTTCAAAGTGCTTCTTGAGCAACATGTCATTTTTAGTAATAAAACTCTGAGCTTCAGTATTTTTAATGCTCTCTTACAGATAAAATGTCTTATTTGACAGTAAAAGATGCATATATTTTCTCCCTGTCCGGAATGGTATGAATATACGAATATGAAACCAATTTTAGATGTGGCAGGTTTTGCATAACAATAATTGCAAAATAACAACTGCTAACAATTTATGAAAATAGCTATCGTAATGTTAGTGACTGAAGTTTGTATTAACCAGTAATACAAGAACCTAAACCAATTTTAGAAGTGGCAGGTTTTGCATGACGGTAATTGCAATGTAACAATTACTAATACTATAATTTATGAAAATAGATGTCATAATGTTAGTGATCAAAGTTTTCAGTAACCTGTAAATAAGAACCTGAAACTTCCTAACTGAAGAGAAAACAACATAAGGGGAAAAAAAGGAATGGAAATAGCATGATCAACAAAAAGTAGGCAACAAACATTAGGAGAAGCAGTAGGATTATAAGAAAGGGAGGGCTCATATACTGTAAATGGCACTATTATTGCTCAGCTTTCTTTGATCTCTACTATCATATTTTTGGCAATAAAGGGAACTCACCTTAGCAGAAGAAGGGTCTTGCTGAATTAAATATTTTCTTGCCCATAGCAACCAGCCAGTTCTTTCAAGCAAGCCTGCAAGCAGGATTTATTTACTTATTAGATTTTTATCCCGCCTTTATTATTTTATAAATAAGTCAAGGTGGCAAATGTACATAACACTCCATCCTCTTTTTATTTTCCCCACAACAATACCGTCAGGTGGATTGGGCTGAGAAAAACAAACTGGGCCCAAAGTCACCCAGCCAGCTTTCATGGTAAAGCAGGACTGGAACTCATAGTCTCTTGGCTTTTAGCCTTGATTCCTTAATCACTACACCAAACTGGCTGTCTGACTTGAAAGTAATAATGCATTTCAGTGCTTTTTGCTTCTCATGAGTGTCAGTTTTCATGTCCAATAGTTGTTGATTCCTCCTTGAATCTGATGCTTTATATAAATGTGTGTTTTTATCTGTATGGAATTTCCTGCCAGTTTTATGGTAACTCATACCTTTAGGAGAGAGGGAAAAAGTATTTGATTACTTTTTTCACTCCATCCTTAAGAGATATACAAACATCAATTATATTTTTTTAATGAAGCACCTAGTTTATTTTGTCAAACTTCATTGAAGAATGTAATTACTATATTCTGTAGATATTCATTGATCATTACTCAGAAAAAAGATGCCTTCTATACTGGCACTTGGTTTGGGCAACCAAACTCTAATTTAGATACATTCTGGGAGGATGTGATTCATGACAGGATTTGACATCTCATGATTATATTCTGTTTCTCATGACCCCTGATTTACATCTTTTAGTAAATATTAATCTGTTATTATTTTACTTCATTTAATTTGCATACTGCTTAGTATGCTATCCAGAAATGTATTGCATGAAATACTTAAAAATAATAAAAGAGAACAAAGCATTATTTGTGCTGTGACTTTTTTACTCCTTTGACCTCCAGATCTTTGAATACTGTTAAAGTTAATCAAAACAGAAATTAATATTGCTTTTTAGTACAAATTTCTACTTAAAAAAAAAAAGTTCACTGTCATTACAATGCAACTTGAACATATATTGTCTAGGATAAGATATGTGAAGTTTTATTTTATTTTTGTATTGAAGCACAGCATATTTATTTTAAAATTCATATACTTTTTCTACATCACAAAGTATGCATTATCTTCTTAATCTGCAATTTAATGTTCTCCTAAATGTATGTTATATTAATAAAAGTATACCCTAGGGGATATTTTAAAATTCTACATAGCCTTAATTTAGTAAGCAGTTATTTCATAGCTATTTCCATTAAATGTGAACAAATTGTTTCTCAGTGAATTCTAATGCAATCAGCAGACGTAGAACTCAATTATTCTGCAATTATTGGAAATGGTGTACTTGGTAACTGTTGATTTTTATATGGCAGATTTGTCAATTTAATACATTTTTAGTTTAATACTGTTAATGTAACTTTTAATAAGTATACAATATTAATTTGCATATTAGTACATGAAGATTAAATTGCATCAATATTTCAGTTCCCTTTTTGGCAGTTTGTATTTTGCTGAATATAAGAGGGAGTTTTTAGATGAGATGCTTTATGCATTCCCCTACAAGCAGGTGAATTAAACTTTCCCCAGGAAGGATGGTTTGTATACAGCAGTGGTTCTCAACCTTTTCTTTACCATGGATACCCTTTAAATACCTTTTGTGGCCAGAAACCATGGCTATGGGCCACCAAGACTTAGTCTAGGTCCTAGGTTCCTAGGATCTCCAGATACAAGGATCAAATAGCAAATGATGGAAAGATCTCTAACTAAGAGAGTCACTGTTAGTATAAATTATACCACGATAAATGGATATTGATATCTTCATACATATATGTGTATGGTTTTCTCAGAATTTTTCTTATTTTCCATTGCTGTTCATTTGTTTCTTTCACTGATGAAAAATGAATGCCACCTCACTGACTAATCAGTTTTTCTGGGGGGAAAAATGGAATTGCTTTATTGGTTGAGATTTTTAAGACAAAGTAGGAGTCCATTGGAATAGGGCAGCCAATAAATTTAAATAAATAAATAATGCTTGTTCAGGCTTCAGTTCAAAATGTATTTTGGAACTTAGCTCATTGGAAAGGGTAGGGTATTGCTCTGCCTGCCAAGTAGGGATTTTAAATAGTATTTTTCAGTTTCACTCATCTTAGCTGTATATGGGATGATTGATAGGAGCTATCCTTAAATCAGAATGATCCTTACCTTAGCTGTTTTCCATCATAGCATTTTGGATAGATGGCAAGATTGTGGAGGATATACTTGTTTGAAGTCACTGCAGTCATATTTCATTGTCATCCAAGATCTTTTTTCTGTGTTTAAATACAGGGCAGCATTTTCTTTTATGAACAGTAAACTGATTTATTTATTTTTAATAATCACATGCCCTTTTTTTCCCTTGTCTCTCCTTTAGTTAGCTTTTCCAACTTTCCTATCCCATCATTTTAATTGTATTAGTGCTTTAAATTAGTCTTTCTTCTTAGTTCTTTATTCTCTATTACAGGTAATTCAATACCTAACATTTGTTCTGAATTTCTTTCAGTGTTTTGATAATTATAAATAATGTATTATTTGTTATCTGCCTTCCTGGGTTTTGATCTTGAAAGCAGTATCCCAGTTTGGCATTATTTAGGAATATGTGCATAATGTTTAGTTTATTAATGGAAAGCTTGTGGCTAGGCAAGAAGATCTTACTCAGCTTGTAGTGGCAAAGACCTAGGAGCATAGCACTAGTACTCCGAGTTTAGGTGCTTATGGTCAGAAGAGTGTATAATGTGAAAATCCACAAGCTGATATATATGACAGTTTGAGTGGTTTATAACTTCATAACAATTCAATATCCTAAGTTTTATTTCCATTCTTATGAGGAAATGAAAAGAGCAGGGTGATTTTTAAATTCTCATAATAAATTAATATAAAAAGGAGCCTGCTCCAATTTTTATTAATTTTGGCAAACTTAATCTGTCACTGGTTGAGATCCAGTGGCGGATAAGCCTTCAGAGTGGATATTGGGTTGTGTGAGGAGGTGATGTGTGTTCCTGAGTGAGAGTTGGGAAGAGAGAATAAGTGGGTTGAGCACCACTTTACCAGTTAGTGAGAGAGGCCAGTTAAGGTGGAGTAGATAAATGGGAGTGGGATAAGTGGTTTAGAGGTTCTGATAGCACTAAGAACAATAACTGAATCATGTGCAAGAACAGATGGAGGGATCCTTAGTTAAGGGAGCTGGGAGGCTAGAGTTGGGGGAAAATGAATTCTCTGAAGGCAGATCAATATATTCAGTTGGGGTTTCTTTCACCTTTCTACTATTGCCCCCACCTATGGAACATCTTGCCCCTGGAGGTGAGGTTGGCCTCCACTCATCTTCTAGAACTAACATGGGGATTCAATAATGGTACATAGTCCAGGGGTGGTTGTTTGTTTGAGGATGCTCTCCCTTTTAATATACTTCTCACATATTTTTATAGTCTTCTTTTTACTTGTAAGCCACTTAAAGTAACTGACCTCTTCACGCATGTCTATTGTTCCTGGCATTTAATCCTATTCTGATTAAAAATAAAAAACAAAAGGTTATATGGGTTTCATGTGCTTATGTTTTTTCCATGCTAAAAAACAGGAGACAAAGCTCCAGTTTATCAAAATGTCATCCCAGAAGTTGCAAAAATCATGATATCATAGTTAAAAAATCTTTTCCAGGATATGGTCAATTACAGGAATTTTAGCTTTGTGGATAAATTTTCTATTAAATTAAACTTTAGAAATATTTGTGGAATGGACCTGGTATATCATATGAAAAATGCATTATGTTTGCTTTTATACCTATGATATTATTGTGGTTTTCCTTACATTGCTTATTGCTTTTGTTTCTTCTTTATGGCTATGGGTTTTTCAAGTTTTTAGATTGTACTACGAATGTTTTAACTATATTATTTATACTGTGAAAGTGGCAGGGCCTTTCTTTTAAATTCTGGTGGAGTAGAAATATGACAGTGAAAGAAAGAGAGAGAAATAGAAAGATACTATAAAAAAGAGTTTAATTGCTTCAGAACAATTTATCTTCGGGGCTGATGAGGAGGAGGTAGTAGGGTAAGAATCTGTTTTCCTAATGATTTTATTTGCTGGATAAAAGCATATGAATGGTCACTGCTAGCAGCAACATATTTTAATTTCATTTATTTACTATATTAAACATTTGTTTATACAACCCATCTTTATTCTTAATTGGTTGCTCCCACCACTCCTCTTCAGGGTCACTTTTTTTATTAAAGCACTTGCAAGATCAAGCGTAGAGAACAAATAGACAATAACATATATAACAATATTGCTTCACTTTTAATCCCTAGGTATCCAAATTCTTAAATAAATTATTAGGCAATACAATCTATTGGGCCTTAAATAACCTATGTCTTTTGCCTCAAGCTTTGCCCATAGTAAGGCTAACTCAAAAACATTGTAATATATATTTCTCTACTTCCAAGTTTTAGAAAAGTACATAATATCCCTGTATTTAGTAGTATCTTATCCCCAGATTGGATCTCTGCCATCTATATATTACAATTATTTACTCTGTCACAAACAATCATTATCACATATGAAGACTCAAGAATGCACACTCAGAAACTATATACTCATCTCTCTTTTTACTGCAAGAGCAAATAAAAAAAAAACACAAGTTGGAGGAAATGTGTTTGTATTGGGAAGGAAAGAGGGAAGAAGGAAGAAAGCAACTAGATTGAGATAAGGCAAGGCAGGGCAAGGTGGAAGGAAGGAAGGAAGGAAGGAAGGAAGGAAGGAAGGAAGGAAGGAAGGAAGGAAGTTAATTTTTCTGAATACAGCTGTTTGAAGACAACAGGATTGTTTTACTGAAGTAATCAAACTTTGAAAACTTTGTTACTTCAACCTGTGCTGATTTCATAGAGATGAACATTTGGATATCTCACCTCCAATCTGTGGAAAGTCAACATATTTTTCCATCATTTTGCACACAAGGCAAATATTCCATGACCTAGGCTTCCTGATACAGTAAAAAGCACACAATTAGTCCCCAAACCCCCCCTTTTTTATTTTAAAGTTGTGAATTCCTTTCATTCACAGCACGTGCTGAATCAACAAGAGTTTATAAATAGTCCAACAGAAGTCTGCCACAGTCCTTCGGATAAGGCTGTAAACACCCACCTTTATCTTTTTTGACAAGCTGCCAAAGACCTAATTGGCAATTATCTTGGCAAGGCCACATAGAAACACAGAGTCAAAAATGGAGCTTCAAAGTACAAACCGATACCATCCACAGTGTTGCTTCCTGCAAAGGCCCACATGCCTTTGCTCTTCCTTTATGTCGTATGGGAGGGGCCAATCATCTCCAAGCCTTACTCCCAAGTCGTCCCTTTTGTTTTAACTGTTTTTGCCTTCTGGCAGGTCTGCGCATGCACACACTAGGAACAGGCTCCCCCTGTTCCTCTGCCTCTCTGATGTCCAACTCTGGAGGCTCCGGAGCCCGCACATAACTCCCAAATGGCCCTGGCCCCATCTCTGCCTCCGATGCAGAGCCCTCATCCGAGCCTTCCCCAGACTCCAGGACTGGCCCATGTTCCTCCCCAGTTTCTCCTCACTGTCCGACTCTGCTGCCAGCTCTGCAGGCTGCTGGTGGACCACAACACCAAGACAATTCTCAGTTTTAAATAATTATCAATGTAGGTATAGAAAAACATGTAAAGTAAATATATGTATAGTAATTCAAATGTGGAAACTTCTGAATCACTTTATTTATTTATTTGTTTGTTTGTTTGTTTGTTTGTTTGTTTATTTATTTTGTATACCCGCCCTTCTCCCGAAGGACTCAGGGCGGTGAACAACCAGCAGATAAAATACAGAAAATACAAAAATTAAAACAATATGAAAAACCAATTAAATTAATTTGGCCCACAGTTAAAATCCATAAAATCCATAGGCCTGTATCACTGAAAATGTACACCCCCATTCAGCCAGATGGACGGAATGTGTGCTTGGTAGCATAGACAAAGACTGCACTCCACTTTCTTCCCCAGTGTTTTGCTTTTCAGATTTTCTGCTGTTAGATTTATGAGGAAATAATTCAGAATGAATTAAATTCAGACTGTCCCTGGGCAATTGCTCTAGTACTTGGTACTTTGTCTGAGTAGGGCAAAATCAATGTTCTGGAAACTATTTGTGAGCTCAGTTTCTGAGTGTATGTAAGCAAACCAAGCTGAGAATGCATCTGCAAAACACATAAATGTCACTTTAAAATTGAATATGCAACTGTAATTGACTCCTTTAAATCTATTATTAAGGACAATCATTTTTAATAATATAAACATTATTTTCCAAATGACCAGCTTGAAAAATTGGTCATCATGTTATAATTTTAAGAATGTATTTTTCTCGGTATTTGTTTTAATAGTACAAATTAAAAAAAAATATTTTTCTTCTGATACAGAAGATGTATCAGAACCTTCCTGATATTTTTATTGGTGCTACCTAATGCATTTTAAATGTATTACTTTATTATTTTGAGCAATGCCTAACATGAGGTATTTTAAAAAGGCATCTATATGATTATTACAGAAAATCATAGAGCAAGATTGAACTTCAAGCAAGTTTTCACACATAATTAGGAAATTGTAGATAATAACTAAATACATACTATTTTCTTTTTCTCACATAACATAAATACAGCAAAGCTATTCTGGAGAATGGACACTTATCAAATAGAAAATGTTAAAAATAATATTAACAGCACTATATAACATGAAAAATGATTCTACTTTTTCAGATAGATAGATAGATAGATAGATAGATAGATAGATAGATAGATAGATTAGACAAACAGACAAGTCTATATTATTAGGCATTTTCCCCCAAGGAATAATTATAACCATTATCTTCATATAGGGCTGGCTATTTGCCCCAGAATATTCCACTTGAAATTATTAGATACCTGTCAAAGGAAAAGGAATTTCTACCTTGGCATGCTGCTAGCCGAGCTCTTTATCCTCTAGATAAATTGCTGGACCGCACAGAGAACTACAATATGTTCAATGTAAGTAAAGAAAATATACATCTCTTTCTTTTTATCAATCGCTAAAGTGTTGTCCTCCCTACAAGAACACAATCACGGTGATCTCCAAGTGAGTTTAGGAGTAGGCAATTCCTTACCCTCTAAATAATTTGGGTCCTCCTATTGAGCTTTGAAACTAGCTGTGCTAGCTATGAGTGGTAGAAGTTGACATTCACAACTATTTATTTGAATATAAATTGCATTAGATAGAAATGCACTATGCTATACACAAAACTGCATGTGCTGTTATCATTTGCAATGTCTGAATGTTCTTAAGGACAACTTTATTTAGAATACATTGCAATAGTCCAAATAGGTAGTAACTAAGGCATGATGATCATAAGCAGAGCCTTTTGATTTTGCACACCAACTTTAACTGGGTAAATGCTACAATTTCTAGAGTCAAAGTTAGGAAATCTCCAGATCCAAGGGACCTATAAATCCACAGCCACTCAGTCTTTCTAGAATTAAGCCAAAAACTATACTACCAACTCCCTGCATCCATTCACCCACAGTCTCTAAATTTTGGGAAAGAATCTTGAAATCATTATCTGGACAGTTCAGGGCAGGAATGTAAACTAAATAACATCAATGTTCTGATGATACTTAATCTCATTTCAATAGAAGACTTAAGTCAAGTGATTTCATATGAATGTTAAATAGAAATGGATAGAGCACTGAAGCATTCTGTAATGCAAGATCTAGAGGAGGATGTCTTCCATCAACACTGCAAATCTTAGTCCCCTACTCGAATCCCTTAAGCCTTCCTTCGCATCCACAATGATCAATGGAATCAAAAGTGGATGCAAATTGCATCCAAAGCCCATGTGATCAATGCCACCTCACTACTATAACCTGGTCTGAAACCTGACTCAAAAGTGTCCAGATAATCACTTTCATCCAGTGTCTAGAGCCAAAGTCTGCTTATGTCTTTTCATTTTCAATTATACAGCTTTGTAAATAAAGATTTTCCACTCTTAGACTATATTAATATAATGCAAAATATTTTTTAAATGTTATATTTTGCTTTTAACATGTTGGTGTGACAATAAGGAAATTGCAGAATGATTTATTGATGACATATATTATAACGGTATAGAAAGTAAAGGGTCAAAAGTAGAAAATTATCATGTTGTCATTGATTTAAAAATGCCAACAATTTAAAAGGACACTGAAAGGCAGACCTCATTAAATTGTCTAATCCTGATATGCAGCTCATATTATTCAGTATTATATCAATTGGGTGAGTCTTTGTAGTGATTTTGCCACTATACACCTATAAAGACAGTGAAGCCCATCAGTTCATCACAATATGTGGCCCAAATATGTCACTTATAAATATTTAATAATGGACTTTACTGAAACATGTACTTCCAAGTCAAGGATAGTCTGCAATAGCAAATATTTAACATGTTTAAGCACCAGGAGCTTTTCAAGTATTTTCATATTGAAATTACAAAACTTAATCCAATGTTAAGCCCTTTCTAAAGCTAGTTATTTCAGAAAGAACTCCAGTTTCTATGAACTCTGTAGGTCAAAGGAAGCAAGAAAATTGTTTCATTTTCTCTTTTCTTTCTGCAGCATTTTACACCCACTTAAATCCTCAACTGATTTAACAGTCTGACCATGAACATTAGTTTCTCTGCAGAAAGTTGTAATAGTAGTAATAAAAACAAAATTCCAAATTCCAATATTACATGCAGACCTTGTAAAGAAAAAGATGAAGCCATAGATCATATAATTAAGGAATGTGAACCGTCAAATTGATTATGAACAATGTTAAGAGTAGCCACTATGAGGCATTGGTAGCACTGCAAAAACTATAATTTCTGATTTTCCTGAATGTGATAATACAAAATCAACACACTAAAAATGATTACAATTTTTAAGAGGCGTTGATGTACAAATTGATCAATATCTACAATATAGCACTCCATGTATAATACTAATTGAAAAGAGTAATTTTTAAATGTGGCAATAACCAGGAATTGTGAAAAACCAATTGGAAAAAAATTAAGACCCATAAGCTAGCTGTGATACTGGGAATAGAAAGTTAAGGTAGTCTAAAACTAACTAAAATAGCCAGGAAAAATAATCCCACTCAAATCACATCAGTTATAAAATGTGACCTTTGTCTTTTTATTCATAAAATTTAACATGCAGGAAAGGAATTTATGGATAATGTAGACTAAAGTAACTCTTCCGAAATGGAGAGGAGGCAGTCTATGATACATTTGCTTGCTTTGGACTGGATGAAACATCTATATTGACTATGAAAATATTTAATGCAGGGACTTTTTCTCATTTCAGGAATACATTTTGAGACAAGTTGCTTCAATGTATCTGAAGCTGGGATGGCCAACAAATAATTTGGAGAAATCTTTGGTTCAAGCTTCCTACCAGCATGAGTAATTCTATTTTTTTAATTGTTGCAAAATAGCTTTAATGAACTGAATTTCCTAAACTTAATTCAAACTGGTAATCAGATTTAACTTTTATATCTTCTGTTTATTTGGCACATGAGCTGATTGGAAGGCTTAAATTTATTTTCTAAATTCACATTGTGTATTCCCCATTATGATGTTGCCTCTTTTTCCTAGAATTTCAAAGAATCATTGTTCCTAGCAGTAATTTAATTCTGGCTGCATTGTACAATAGAACTTTTGATAGGTTGAGGTGCTTCATGGCCATGATTTCTGCTTCATCGTTGTTGTTTAACAATTATTGAACAATAGTTATAACATTATTCATATGGATGTCCTCATTAAATATTAGTTTAGATCACTGTTTCTCAAACTTGGCAACTTTAGATATGTGGGTTTCAACTCCCAGAATTCTTCAGCCAATCATGCTGGCTGCGGAATTCTGAGAGTTGAAGCACACATATCTTAAAGTTGCCAAGTTTGAGAAACTTTGGTTTAAATCTTGGGAACAGTGGTGTGTTTCCCCCTGAGAATGGGAATATATTTATTAACATCAGATTAATGCTAGTTTTGTCTTTGGGATACACAGGGAGTTCCGCCGTGAAGTGATTATGCTGGCATGCAGCTTTGGTAACAAGCATTGCCACCAGCAGGCTGCAACTCTAATCTCTGACTGGATCTCCAGCAATAGAAACAGGTAAAAATGACATCCTACATTACTCCTTTCCCCCATAAAGATTGTTTAATCCAAAATTAATTTTACTACAGAGTGGTGTGCTCATGTATGCATATTAATAATAGTTGGCTCCTGGAAGGAATATATTTTGTGTAAGAAAAGTGGCATTTGTTTGTGTAGGGATAATGTATGTGTGTATGTAGAGCGAGAGAGAGAGTTGTTGCTGAAAATCTTAACCCAAGTGTTAATGTACCACCTCCCATGGTATTAATACTGGTGCAAAATCAGGGTGCAGGGAGACCTTCCAGCACCTCTTTTATCCACTCCCAAGGCCACAATAGAATTGCTCCAAGCTGGCTCATCTACATTTACTTTTAGATTTCCACCACCTGTAGATCTTTGTTAACCCACTTTATAACCTGCAGCATCTTGGTGACCCAAGTAGACCCATGAACTCAGAACACAGCCAAAGATTTCTTAGTAGTTAATTTTAATATTCAATTTGGTCTCACAAGCGAATAGTGTATTCCCTATTGCCCCTTAATACATATTCCTACTTAAACTTAGAAACAACCTTTGCAGCATATTCTACCACAGCTCTTCTGCAATCCATCAACCCAACACACATCTAATATTCCAACTATTTACTAATACCATGTAACAATATCAATTGGACTGTAGAGGCAATTTATTTATTTTATTTTATTTTATATCCAATTTATATACCGCCCTTCTCCTTGAGGACTCAGGGCAGTGTACAGCCGAATAAAAACATAAATTACAAACATTAAAATAGTATTAAAAGAATATATATAAATTTGGCCCCATAATTTAAGAACAATAACAAACCCATTTAAAACATTTAAAAAATTAACAAAAAAGTTAAGCCAACCCGGCTTGCTGAAAAAAGAGGGTTTTAAGGGCACGGCAGAAGGCACTGAGGTCTTGGATTCTCCTAATCTTTGGGGACAGTTGGTTCCAGAGGGTGGGTGCCCCCACAGAGAAGGCCCTCCCCCTGGAGGTCACCAGCCTACATTGTTCGGCTGATGGCACCCCGAAGAGGCCCTCTCTGTGGGAGCGCACAGGTCAATGGGAGGCCGTCGGTAGCAGCAGGCGGTCTCGAAGATATCTAGGTCCTATGCCATGGAGCGCTTTAAAGGTGATAACCAACACCTTGAAGCGCACCCGGAAGACCACTGGGAGCCAGTGCAGCTCACGCAGGAGAGGTGTTGAATGGGAGCGCCATGCAGCTCCCATAACTACCTGCGCGGCCGCATTCTGGACCAGTTGGAGCCTCCGGGTGCCCCTCAAGGGGAGCCCCATGTAGAGAAAGTTGCAGTAGTCCAGGCGAGAGGTGACGAGGGCATGAGTGACTGTGCGCAGGGCATCCCGATCAAGAAAGGGCCGCAACTGGCGTATCAGGCGGATCTGACAAAAAGTCCCCCTGGCCACAGATGTTCCTCCAAGGACAGCTGTGTATCCAGAAGGACACCCAGATTGCGGGCCCTCTCCGAGGGGGCCAAAGACTCACCCCCAATAGTCAGAGATGGAGTCATCTGACTATATCGGGATGCCGGGAACCACAGCCACTCAGTCTTGGAAGGGTTGAGTTTGAGCCGATTTCTCCCCATCCAGATCCACACAGCCTCCAGGCACCGGGACATTACTTCAAGGGCATTGTTGGGGTGGTCAGGGATGGAGATGTACAGCTGGGTGTCATCAGCGTACTGGTGGTACTTCACCCCAAAACCATGGATGATCTCGCCCAGCGGCTTCACATAAATGTTGAACAGAAGGTGCGAGAGAACCGACCCCTGAGACACTCCACATATGAGAGGCCTCGAGGTCGACCTCTGCCCCCCTGCCAACACGAACTGCGACCGGTCGGAGAGAAAGGAGGAGAACCACCGAAGCACAGTGCCCCCCATCCCCAACTCTTCCAACCGGTGCAGCATGATACCACGGTCAATGGTATCAAAAGCCTCTGAGAGGTCTAACAGGGCCAGAACAGAGGAGCAACCTCTGTCCCGAGCCCTCCAGAGATCATCTACCAACGCGACCAATGCCATTTCCGTGCTGTGCCCGGGCCTGAAACCCGACTGGAATGGATCTAGATAAGACGTTTCCTCCAGGTACTGCGGAAACTGTCGTGCGATCACACTCTCAACAACCTTCGCCACAAAGCGAAGGTTGGAGACAGGACGATAGTTGGCTAATACTGCCGGATCCAGGGAAGGCTTCTTGAGGAGAGGCCTCACCACCACCTCTTTCAAGGCCTTGGGGAAGTAACTCTCACTCAGCGAAGCGTTAATAATTCCCTGGAGCCAGCCTCGTGTAACCTCCCGGGAAGCCAGTACTAACCAGGAGGGACACGGGTCCAGTAAACATGTGGCCGCACTAAGTCTCCCCAGAATCCTGTCCACGTGATCAGGGGTCACAGAGTCAAACTTTTCCCAGGTAACATTCTCAAGACTATTCCTCGTCACCCTGCCCGAATCTACCCAGTCAGAATCCAACTCCCCCCAGATCTGAGCGATTTTGTCATACAGATATTGTCCGAAATCTTCCACCCTGCCTTCCAGGGGGTCCTCCCGCGCTCCCGAGTGAAGCAGGGAGCGGGTCACCCTGAACAGGGCGGCCGGATGATTCTCTGATGATGCAATAAGAGCGGAAAAGTGGTTAAACTTTGCCACTTTTATCGCCACTAGGTAGGTCTTAATATGCGACCTTACCAGTGTTCGGTCAGATTCAGCGAGACTGGCCCTCCAACCGCTCTCCAGGCACCTTTTCCGGCACTTCATCTCCCTCAACTCCTCGGTAAACCAAGGAGCCTCAAGGGATCGGCACCGGGTCAGAGGCCGCAAAGGCACGACTCGATCCAAGGCCCCACCAGCCGCCCAATCCCAGGCAGCCACCAGGTCCTCAGCCGAGTCGTGTGCCAGATCCTCAGGAAATGGCCCAAGCTCCATCTGGAACCTATCAGGATCTATCAGGCACCTGGGGCGGACCCATCTTATTGGCTCCGCCTCCCTACGGCAGGGTGTAGCGGTTCGAAGGTCCAGGCGGAGGAGCGAGTGATCTGACCATGACAAGGGTTCCATGTCTATATCCCCTATAACAAGATCACTCAACCACTGGCCAGAGACAAAAATCAAGTCCAGAGTGTGTCCCTCCCCCCGTGAGTGGGGCCATGAACTAACTAGGTCAGGTCCATGGCCGTCATGGAAGCCATGAACTCCCGAGCCATCCCAGACGTTTCACCAATAGATAGCAAGTTGAAATCACCCATGACCATAAGCCTGGGTGTATCAACTGCCACCATGGCTATCACGTCGAGTAGCTCAGGCAGGGCCGCTGCCACGTGGCAGGGAGCCAGGCATGCAAGCAGCAAGCCCATCTGAACCCCATGACCCCATCTCACAAAGAGGGACTCACATCCGGCAATCTGAGGCACAGTGGTCTCCCTCGGACCGAGACCTTCTTTAATAATAACCCCCACCCCCCTGCCCCTCCCCTGGGCTCTCGGCTGATGGAATGCTCTGAAACCTGGTGGGCACATCTCGACCAGAGGGACCCATCCCTCCGGTCCCAACCAGGTCTCTGTGATACCTGCCAGGTCCGCTCCCCCCTCCTGAATAAGATCGTGAATGAGGGGGGTCTTATTTACCACAGACCTGGCATTGCACAGCATCAGCCGCAGGCCCAGGTCCTGAGTATCTGAGCCACCTAGTATCCGAGAGGAGCCTTGGGGACCGGGGCGCACAATTGCTCTAAAACAGCAAGTGCGCACCCCCACCACATGATATGGTCCCCTCCTCCCACCATATCTGCCCCTCCCAACCACCGTGCTGATGGTACTTCCCTCATTGGGATAGCCCTCTGCCCCCTCCCCATTCCCTCGTCCTGTACCCTCCAAACAGTTACCCCGTGCCGGGCTCGGCTCTGACCTTGGTGGATTACCCCCCCCCATCCCCTTTGGTCATCCTCCCAGTTCCCCTTAAAAAATTATTAAAAACCCTAATTAAAAAAACCCTTAATCCCTGCTTTGAAACATGCCACCTCTAGGGGCTCCAAAGCCCGTCCTTAAGGTAGGCCTTTGATAACGTGGAAGGCCATCGCCACGAGAGGGGGGCATCTCGCAGCGCAAGCAGGTCTGCTGAGGTATAAGCCATACATAGATGAGAGGTAAAAAGTCTGGTCAGGAGTTTGATAAATAGTCTAAAGTTACTGGAGCAAGATGGATCTCAGTGCCGGTAAGCTGGACTCCAGCTGCAGTGGGAGGAGTCCCATCTCATTTCACCAAAATCAGAGGTAAGGATCCAAGCCACCGTCTCACGGTGGCTAGCCCAGATGGAAATGGCTCAGGAAAGTCAGATGGTCTATTCCTCCATTGGTGAAAGGCAGCAGCTCCCTCAGCTCCCGCATGACAATTGCCCAGACTCCCTCCAGCTGGGGGCTCAGATGAAAAAGGAAGCCGAACCATAGAGGCACGATGATATTAAACCCGAGGGAGAGAAGATGTTCAAAAGGGAGGGATAACATGCAGCTGGATACAATCTGGAGGCGGGAAGCCGGAGACCAGTCCATAGACACGGGGGAGGGGGGGAGAGACCAATCGAGGCAACCAGATGACCAGTTTTTTGGACTCACTCCAGCCTCTCCAACCCCCAGAACTTCATAAATCCCCCTGATCGTATCTCCCGCCTCCAGACTCCAGCCCCCAGGTCAGATGGTCTATTCCTGGTATAGATGGTAAGGCCAGAAACAAGCTGGCCATATCTCCCCCCCTCCTTTGCTGCTAAGTACCAGGCCGCCACTGCCATCGTCTTGCCATCGAGCCACAGCCGCCATTGCCGCCTCAGCTGCCACTGTCGACGCCGTCCAGAACCCGGCCCCTCAGCATATCCCAGGACCACCGGAAAGATATCCAGGGCCTGGGAGGGGAGGGCTCGCTCCATGCCACCGCCGCCGTGCCCATAGCCGCTGCCGCTCCAGCCTCCGCAGCCTCCAGCACTGAAGAA